TGGTTCTAAAGGTGGCTACGGAGGCGGTAGCGGCGGCGGAAAAGGTGGAGGAGGAGGGTACGGTGCTGGAGGAGCGCACGGAGGCGGATATGGAGGCGGCGGAGGATCAGGAGGTGGCTACGGCAGCAGTGGTGAAGAAGGAGGATATGACGGTGGATATTGAGAAAGCTTTGCTTATCCCTCGGTTGGAACATGAAAATGATTATCCAATATTCTACTCTTATGTATCAACAAAAATAAAATAATGAATTTGGGTAATTAATGAAGATGTTATATTTCTAAATGAATTTCAGTAACTTTCTAATGAATGTGTGAAATAGAAACTTTTCCATGCATTCCAATGTGAGAAATGAACTATTATGAAATATATTCTCCCTTTTCACCTTTAAATTATCGATCATTACATTTAATTAGTTTTTGTTTATGTTTTTGGATCTGTTTTAAACCTATAACGAGTCAGATTTAAAGATTAAGTTGGTTGCTGTACATTAGAAAGAAGAACTATTTAGTTCTGTAATAATTGGGTATCTTTAAAACGAACTAATTAAGGAAATTTAAAAAAAGAAAACAACTTTGGAAAAAATGCACAAATATGCTTTCATTGAGTTTTTTTAATTATAAAATGATGAGGTAATTTACCTCCCCTTTAAATTCACTTGGGTTTAAGACTATTGAGAGAGGGAGGGATATGAAAAAAAAACATGTATGTTCCCTTGTTTGCATGTATTTTAATTTAATCTCAGAAATGCGATCAAAGCCTCACATTGACTAGATAAAAGGAAGATTATAGATATATAAGTGAGAGAGACGACATCTCCGTTGGTACGAAGCTTTTTGGGTGAAACTAAAAACAAAATTATGAAGACAAATATCATACTTTCGGTACCGGTGGAATTTCATTGTCCTTAACAAATTGTCATAAAAAATTATGACATTTTGTGAAATACATATTAAATTTATATTACATAGTAAAATTTCTCTATTTTTAATAATAATTGATTCCTAAAGTTTAAAAAAAAAATTATTAGTACGTTCTAAATTCAAGTTTCTAATAAAATTTCTATAAAAAATTAAATTTATCATAATTTATCAAGGATTGATTGATAATTTAGAATGATTAATGCATTTATCTAATTCATATATAAATATATATTTATATGACACAATTAGTTCAATGATATCTAAATAATATCAGTCGTAGCTCAACCACTATGAGATTTATATCTTTAAAGTGTGATCATTTTGCCACCATTATTATATAGCAAATGGGAAATTATTTAATGTATTATTTCTCAAATGGGAATTAGGGAAACATGTGCATAATGGTATGTATAAAAATTATGGTAATGCAAAATCGTTTCAGAACCCATTTTACAATATCTCAATCTCATGGCGGCTGCGCTAAAAATTACAATAATTAAAAAAAATAAATAAATAAAACCCAAATAAAATATCTCAAACTTAGTGCGTTTTTATAGGCATCATCAATTAAGAATCATGCAAATATCTTATAAAGCAAATAGTCAATGTTTGTCAAGCAAATTGTATATTCAATGTTTCAAAAATCTTTTTAATTTTTTTAATTCTTGATGAAGCAAAATTTAGATTGGAGGCATGGTTTTAAATATCTGTCGACACGTCGACATGTTTTCATGGGTTCGATATCGACATGAGGGACAAATCGACATTTCCATCATAGTACAAGAAAATCGACAAAATATGAAAAATATCAACAAAATGTCATTAATATATACATAATATTAATATTAATCACTTTTAATTAATTTAGAAATAGAAAAATGTTTATTTGTCAATTTAAATATTTTTACGATTTTTTAAATTTTTCTAACATTTATAGAAATATCCATCGACATCAACATTTCATCGATATTTTTATTGATATTTCCATGAAATTAAGACCTCGATATTGTCATCGACATCGACATCTAAAACCTTGATTGGAAGGTTTCATGTAGGAAAAAGTACATATTTAGTTTAGTGAGTGAATTATTTCCAGAATTTTCAAAATTTTAATTTTGTAAAATCATTCTTAATTAATAAAACGCACAAAATTCATTTGACGAAATACCTAATATCAGGTGATAATTAAGATAGTCGTTATTTTAAAAAAATAATAAAATAAATCACAAGATGCTAAAATTGAATAATATGAATATTTTAATCTAACGACAAAAATTACTTAATTCAACCATAAATTAAAACACTCCAAAGATAAAACTTCAGAATATTAACTATGAATAGGTTATTAAATATAGGTCAAATTTTCTACTTTATACATGTTTATGGGTTTGACATCTATATACCGAGAGTGAATCGATATTTCCATAATATCGTAAAATAATCGGCAAAGTATGAGAAAAAAAATATCTAGATAATATCACTAATACATACATAATACTAATACTTATACTTTTTTATTTATTTAAAAGTGTAAAGTGCTTACTTACTTATTTAAATATTGATTATGAAGTTTTTTATTTTTATAATTTTTTTCAAAAATATCTATCCACATGGATGTTTTATAAAAATTTTGACTGACACGATTTTACCAATTTGACATTTCAAAATTTCCATCAATATGAACATTTAAAACTTTTATTTAACCCAGCTCAAATTTATAGAAAGGCAAAATAAATTGGAGGTAATAGAAGAGATTAATTTCACCGCTGCTCTCTGAGTTTTTCTTTGATTCTCTAAATCTTACAAAAATCTTTAAAAATGGTGTAAGTGGAAGTCATGCATATCCAAATTATGATTTTTTTTTTTTTTTAATTGCATGTGCACTCTGTTAACCACTAAGAACAAAGAGAAGTTAGGCTTGAAAGTTGGCTGCTTCGTCATGGTCTTTTAAACGGACCTTTTTTATAATTATGACATTCTCTTCTAAATGATACTTTTTTGTAATGATGACATTTCCTCTCTATTTCTTTGAACTGAAGCCTCACCATTTCCTATATAATGAAATGAATGAATGCATTCTAAGACATATCTCCCTTATATATGGCTAACCCTAGAATTTTATCCCTTGGTTTTCTTCTGCTGGTGGGTTTAGGCTTAGCTTCGGCTGCTAGAAACCTTCTCGCATATGATCCTCCACATCACTCAGCTGTGGGATATGATTACGATCGTCCTGTGCTTAACCCAAAAGTAGGGTACGATCCTGAGCATCATGATCGACCCTATGGTGCATATGGTGGTGGTGCTGGTGGAGGATATGGGAGCGGAACTGGCTCTGCCTTGGGAGGTTCTGGATATGGGAGCGGTGGCGGCGGAGGAGGTGGCTCTGGATATGGAGGCGCAAGAGATCATGGAGCTGGTTATGGGAGTGGTGGAGGTGGTGGATATGGAGGAGGGATGGGATCTGGCCTTGGAGGCGCTGGATACGGGAGTGGTGGCGGTGGAGGAAGCGGCAGAGGATATGGAGATGTAGATGGGCGTGGAAAAGGATACGGTAGCGGTAGTGGAGGTGGCGGAGGATCGGGAGGTGGCTACGGCAGCAGTGGTGAAGGAGGATATCATGGTGGGTATGCACCTTAAAGTACATATTATCATCTCAAAGGTTATCCCATCCCTACCCGATGTTCATCGTGTGAACCGTAATAAATTGAATTTGGGTGACAATGTTATAGTATTTCTAAATCAAATGCAATATGTAATTTTCTTTTTTCTCTTCATCATCATGTTTTTTGGTGTGATGTCAGTTGGTTACTCAAATCACTGCAAGAGACCCTTTTAACACAGCGTGTACAAACAACTATTAAACTCATTGGTAATATATCTTGCAGCAATTTATAACTGTCGTAATAGCTGACAAAATTCACTACAATAGACCATTATTCTTATGGTGGGAATTTAATGCATATAACATAAATTTGTTGGGAATAGTGGAGCCAAAACAAAATCAAAATCAAAGAGTAGCATCTCAACACTACTTCGATTTATAAAGAATTTTTTTCTTAGATTAGGTTTTTTCAAGTGGTTGTGGTTGAATTTAAAATGTGTTGTTGCAGAAAATGAGAGGAGCGGCTTTGGGAGGACATCATTGATCTAATCCTCCAAATCAAATCTTTTTTTAATTACTTTATAGCTACCATTTCTTGTGATTAGACACCTTTTTTTAGGCTCTTCCTTTTTGTATGTTTCTCATATACCTCTTAATGAAATTGTACCTCTTTTTCTCGAAAAGTTCAGAGGGGCGACGGTAGTGAGTTTTGGCAGAGAGGTAAAGAATTCTTGGGTTGTGGAGCAATGTCAACAACCCGTTCTAGTGTGTTCAGTGAGGTTTTTCATTCCTTTAGCTATTTTTTGTGCGCATAATAGCAGAGGGTATTTTTTTCCCAACACTTACCAAGATATTACTACAAAATCAGTCAAAAAAAAAATTAAGGGCCAACACTTCGCAGTTTGAAAGAATAAGAAACGAGAAAAGGGTTAGTAGTATCAATATTTCATGGGTTTCATCTCAAAATTATTAATTGGCTACTCATGTCTATTATAAATCCTTGTTAGGTCCCTTAAGCTTTCAAGTTTAAATCCTTAATTGGTAGAGCATTGTGGCAGCTGTTATCGTAAGGTTAGTGAGGTTTTTCACTCTATATTTTCAAGTAAAGATGTGGTCGTAATGCTTAGAAGCTAGGTAACTATTATCGTGGTATCTAGAGAGCGTTGTAGAGTGAAATCCATTGTAATCTTTCCAAACTTGCGTTTGCAGAAGACTAAACCTAGGCCCTAAAACAAATACTTTTTGGTGGGTTTGTTTTTCAATCCTATCTCGCATTTACTGTTATTATTGATTAGACTTTGAGGATTGAGCATTTTATTTCCCAAAGCCCGTTGTTTGGGTAAGATTTTTGTTAGCCTACTAATTTAAATTGGGTGACAGAGTACTCAAAAAGAAATTTGTTAAAATAGTGTTTCGAAAACTAAATTTACTCTTATTTCTAATTTATGTTGCTTAATTTTTTTTTTTTTTTTAATGTTATCCCTATAAATTTAACAAGCTTTGAATTATTTTTATATATATTAAAATATTATTAAGAAAATAAAGAAAAAAACAAAAGAAACTATTTTGTTGTCAATTAACAATTATGTATGTATATATTTTTTTCAGTACAACATGTGGGGTGGAAGATTCGAATTCACGACATTCTAATCGTACATATATACCTTAACCTGTTGAACTAAATTCATATTGACAATAATTATATTTAATTAATAGTTCATGATATAGGAGATAATATAGTACGACCACATATTATATATCCCTCGATCTAAGAGAAGATAGCATTTAAAGCATGTTGATCAATAGTCATAATATAAGAAAAGAAGTTAATGAAAATAAAAGAATTTTTTCTAGAAATTTTCAGCATATTTAAAATCATAGATATGATAGGATAACAACAAAATGAATCATGTCACTTTTTCATTTAAAAGATTAATAATGATAGTTTTTTTTTCCAATTTAAAGAATCTAACAACGTGTTAAAATTCGTAACCTGAATATAACTCAACTGATTAAGACATATATTTTCGACTAAAAAGTCAAAGTTTCGCATCATTCTTTGGAAAAAAAAACATTGGATGATTAAAATATATATACATATATTTTTTTTAGTACAACATGTGGGATGGGAGATCGAACTCACAATTTTTTGGTTAGAGATACGTGTCAATTACCGCTGAACTATGTTGGTTTTGGCAATAAAAATATATTATTGTTGTTATATAATACACTTAATAAAGATTTATAATATGATATCCAAATCAGCACAGGACTCACATTCATCTAAATTGTCTCACTCACAGATCAAACCACTGTGAGATTTATATGTTTAAAATTGGGATCATTTTTCCACCATTGTTTAGAAAATGGGAAATTATTTTAATGTTTCTCTCAAGTGGGAAATTATTAGGGGATCATGCATAAGTGCTAATGTACATAGCTATAGTAATTGGAAGTCGTTTCATGATCATAATCTCGTGGCGGCTACACAGTACAAAAAGAGAGAACCATGGTTGATTAATTAATAGTTTCAGAAATATTCTTTTTTTATATTCATGAGTATCCTGACAACTTGTTAATAATCCCATGACATGAGAAGATGATTGTGTTGATAGGTTAGAAGAATAGTTGAGGTATTTTTTATATTAATTTTAATTAGGTTCTCCTATCTTTTCCATGTGAGATATTTAACTATTATCTATTAATATTCATGGGTTCCATCTCAAAACCAATTGGCAATGAGAGGAGTAGCTCATGTCTATTATAAACCATTGTTAAGTCCCTTCTTTTATCAATGTGGGATCCTTAACATTATCATCGATGTTAAATAAGGAAAAAAACTAATACCTTACCTCAAGTATCTTGATAATAGTATGATATTGTTCACTTTGGACATAGCGCCCTCACGCTTTGATTTTGGTTTTACCCGAAAGATCTCATGCAATATAATTGTCCTCTCTTATATATCATGGATCACCACTGTTGGAAAAGTAACGATCGAAAATATCCAAACACAACCACAATATGCGAGTAATTCACTAATAATGTTAGGATTGGAATACAAAATTTTCCTCAAAAATATCTCCTAGAGGTCGTCCTAGCAAAAGCTCCCTACCTTCTAAATATTTTAATACAATTAATACTTAGGTACAGGAATGAAAAACTCACAATAATCAAGATCTAATTACCCAGATAACGTCGATTTGGATCAACCCCAATGCATGCCTCTGCCAATACTCGAGCCGCTGCCACTGATTAGCTGCCAAAACCCTCTGAAAACGACCGCTAAAACCCCAGCTTGTTTGGCTTAGAAAACCCTAAAACCTGAAACTACGAATTTATATACTCGAAACAGCGCCATGGTGCTGCAGACACAAAAGCGCGTCCATGCTCCCCATCAGGACAGCGCCGCGATGCTGTCTTCTCGACCGCTCTAGCTTGCAGCATCCGCTTCTTTGTTTTTCATCCCCGCTTTGATCCCAACGCGTCCCGACTCATCTCTAGCTGGTTTCGACATCGTTTTGGCTCCATCAATCCCGACATCCCCTCTAGCCAATGTGGAATTTTATTTACATACCTTTCAACTCCAACCGTTCTCTTCTTCAAAATATTAAGTTAATTACTAGTTCGATCTCAAAATAGTTAAAGTCATGAAACTTTCAATTTCTTCTCTCATTTTAGATTATTCCATTGTTTTAATTTCTATTTAATAGAAAATCGTCGACATTATTTTTAGATAGAATAATATATTGTTCATCTAAGTTTTCCCACTCATATAACTCAACCATCCACTATGAGATTCATATCTTTATTAAAGTGATCATTTTCCCACCATTGTATAGCAAATGGGAAATAATTAGTATGATATAATATAATGTAACTCTCAAACGGGAATTAGGGAAACATGCATAAATGCTATGTAAAATATTATTATACTAATGCTAAATGCTAAGTCGTTTCATAAGCCATTTCATATCTAAATCTCATGGCGGCTGCAGTACAAAAAGAGTAAAAGAGCCCTAATAAAATATGCTCTCTACTTAGTGGGTTTGTGTACACATAATAAATTAATTATGCAAATTCTGGATAAAGGGAACAAAGTTATTGTCAAGAGAAATCATGAATCTAATAGGTGGTGAAATTAATAATTTTGATATCAATTTTAAAAATTAAATTCAATCAATAAAACATTTCATTCATAAGAATGTTTAAGCCTAACTATATAAGAATAGTTGGTGTTTCTTTTTTTTTTTTTATCCTTGAGTGTCCGGACCAGCTAATTCCTGAGGTAGGGTAACCAGTTTGAACTCATTCCCTCCTTATATTAACTCTAGTCCTTTGGAACAATAATTAAGTCATCCATGAGGGTTAAGAATAATTGGTACCTAAAAGGTAGTTTCATCTAACTATAGAAATTGATAACTTTGCAAACACTACAAAGTTTGAATTTGGGTGTGGCCGACGAACAATGGAATATGCACAGAGAGAGAAGCTGTGACGCTCAAGTTAGTTGAATTTAATTCTATACTCGGTGTGAGAATAGTTTCGCGTACCTAAAAAGTGAGGTAGGACTCACTATTTGTGAAGTTTAGGTTTCTGATATCGCTTGGGAGAGGTAATGATTGTCCATAAATCGTGGCGTAGAGAAACAGTTGTAGGTTTGTGACAAGCGATATAATGATCCTTGGACTGTCTCTTATGAGATTGAGAATTTAAGATTGTCATTGGTTGGCTAGACCTTAATGAAATTTCAAGCCGTGACTTTCAAGAAATCACCTGATCCAATGATATGATATTGTCTATTTTGAGCATAAACCTCATGGTTCTACTTTTGGTTTCACCCAAAAAGTCTCGTACCAATAAAGACAATTATCACCATCTATATATATTATAGATCACTCTCTTCTTTTCACTAACCAACGTGGAACTTATATGCACACTTTACAAACTTATATTGTACTTTTAACTTTAATGGTATGTACACGTGATCTGTTGGCACAAGTTTTCATCTATTATTGAAACGAAAAACAATAAACGAAAATGTTATCAAATTGGTCCTTTCCACCGCTACAAGCTCCTCTGAATCTGAACAAATCTTGCAAGATAGTGTAAGTGGAAGATCAGGATCAAAGCCTTACGTAAGTACCGATATGAATTAGTTGGAATCTTATTTTTGAGCCTAATGACAAAAGGCAACACACTATAGTGCCTCTTGAACATCCCTGAAGTTTAACTAATATCCCAAGTTGATCTCTTTTTTGCATGTGCGCCCACTACAGTTGAGAA